GTAAAAAAGGATATATGCAGTGTTATCTTCATTTTAGATATCAAAAGGGTTTTGTGGCTCCCAGTATTTTGTTTTCGGTGGGAAACGGGTCCAAGTGGCTCTTTGAGTGTTTTGGGTTGCCTATCCCTGGACTAGTCCCTTCCAACTCGGTTATTCTAATTCTTATTTCAAAAGGGCTCCTCCTAAAATTCATTCTCCTCTCTACAGTTTATACATGTTACACTCCAGATTGTTATAGTAAAAAAAAAGTCAAGATGGTGACCACAATGGCAAAATTGAACCGTTGCCCATTTTTTATATGCCATCTCAACTTTTTTGACTATATACTGTTGAGATGCTTGAAGGGTTATCTGGCACTGTGGCACGCAAGAGCCTTTCACCCCCCTCCCCAAAACAGGGATGTGATTAGTTTATGAATTTAATGTTGGACACGTTAACATACATGTTAAATAAGTAAAAGAGAAATAATAATAATAATGATAATAATAATGATAATAATAATGATAATAATAATAATAATAATAATAATAATAATAATAATAATAATAATAATAATAATAATAATAATAATAATAAAAGTTGGAAGGGATCTTGGAGGTCATCTAGTCCAGCCCCCTGCTCAGGCAGGAAACCCTACACCATTTCAGACAAATGGCTGTCCAGTCTCTTAAAAACTTCCAGTGTTGGAGCATTCACCACTTCTGGAGGCAGGTTGTTCCACTGGTTAATGTTTAAATAGACGATATATATATTATAGTAACTTGGGCTGCACCATGTTTTGGCATGGGAAGGTCCCACCAAAGAGGAAGCTGGGCAGTGAGGTCAAGTGAGCAAGGCTGCATTATCACATAGAAGGGTGTGCATGTGGACAATTAGGATTTCCCTTTGTTTTTGAAGGGCAGAGCTTTTTTCGTAAAGAGCATTTAGCTGCTTTCTTCTATAGTATTACAGGAAATTGCTGTTAAGTCTTGGCAAACACACTAGCAAATTTGGCAATGCAGTCGGAGGACACTCAGAACCGTAAAACGGTTTTTGGGAGATTACATGGAGGCAGTTATGTAAATTTCCTGCAGCACAATGCAGAAGCTGCTATTTGAGCCAAGTTTTTTAAAGAAATGTTTGTTAGAAAAGGAAGTGGCATTTCAAGGAGATTGAGAGTTAAAAGGGCAGTCATTTTTTTCTATAAGCATTCCCACATTTTTATGAATACTTCCCCCCCCCTCGTACATTTTTATTGCACAATCAAACAGTACACACTGTTGAAGTTGAAGGAGAAAAAGCAGAGACCGTTGATTCCCAGTTTGGAAGAGCCCTGGGCCCATCACTCACCAAAGTCTTCAAGCATGAGAGTAGTTAGTTTTGTTCACATTTAAAGAAATGTGCAAGGGATAAAATCTAATCCTACCTCCTTCCCACCTGTGTTCTGCATTAGCCATCTGTTTTAGCCATTTTCTCCCTGACCTTGTCAAATCTGGTCCCTTCTGTTTGCTGGACATGTGGATTTTCTAGCAAGGCATCAAAATAGAAGGGGCTGGTCTGTTTGTCTCCAACAAGGTTGGACAGTCCTTGAAGGGGCAGGATGGTCCAACATCCTAGAAATGTTCTAATCCTTTGACATTTCCAATATTTGAACAAGCCCACCAAGATGAGGCTTATGCCCAAGTGGCAGCGTAACATCTTTTGCATTCGTGATGTTCTCCCACAAGTGCTGGCAGGCCAGGGTCTGAAGTGTAAATGAGATTTCCAGAGAGCAGAAAATAGAAAGGGAAAATAGAAAGCCACAGTCACATTCATTCTATTCCTTTAATTTCTCCAATTTCCACTCGGTGGAGGGTGGATCTTACAGCAGTGGGGACTGCCAGCGCAGGAATAAGAACAGAGTCTCAGTAGAAATTTTATCTTCTCTTGTCTCAGGAAAAAAAAGAACAGCTGAATAAATTATAGCTATATACACTCTGTGGCCAAAGAATCCTTGTGCTTGTTTTTTTAATCTTTTGGTATTATGAACCGAAAAGCCTCAAAAGTTTGACAGTTTATTAGAAAAAACATTAACTGAATCGACTGAGGTACAATTCTACAGAAAGATCAATCAGAGAATCTTATTATCTGTCAACCTTACTCTGCTTATCCATATAGTGGTTTACAATAACATAAATATGTTCTCTTTCAGATTGATTTTATTTCTTTTAAATTATATACTCCATCTTTCTGCTTACATAACATTCCAGATGGCTATTTAATTTTGAGGCACAATTGCCTCCTAATAATATGCACACTGCTGGAACATTAAAGGCACAAATTGGTGTACTCAATGTAATGCCATATTTACACACATTATTTTGTTCTGTTTATAAAAGCAAAGCAATTCGGAAGGGCAGTAAAGATTTCACCACTGTTTCTTTTTGATTCCACTGCAAAGGGACAGTATAGCATGAAGATGCTTCAGTGTTTCCAACTGCTTTTTCATACCTTAGCACAGTGGTTCTCAACCTTTTTAATGCCGCGACCCCCAACCGGTCGTAAGTCGAGGACTACCCAACCGGTCGTAAGTCGAGGACTTTCCCTGCCCGGGAGCGCCGCACATGCGTGGTTTCGCCCCCTGCGCCGGCCGAGGTGTAGCTGGCAAGCGGCAGAGACGGAGCAGGCCGACCACCAGCTGGCCCAGCCCAAGGGAGGTAAGGCACCCGCCGGAAAAGGGAAAAAAAATGGCAGACAGCCTTGCTTGGCGAGCCCCATGAAATGGTCGATCGACCCCAAATGGGGTTGCGACCCATAGGTTGAGAACCGCTGCGGCAGTATCAACTTTCTCCTCAAAGTCCCTCAATAGCAATGCATCAACAAGTAAATCACACATGGTAAAGCCTTCAATTGTCCACCTGTTAAGTCCACCTGCTTTGCCTTGGTCTGTGTCTTTTTTTTGGGCTTCTTCACCTTCCACTGCCATCAACTCAGCATTTTAGCTTTGATTCTTTGCTTTCACAAAATTCACTGTTTCTTTTACATACAACAGAGCTTGCATTGCACTGATTTTTCCCCCCAGAACATTGAAGAAGGCAGGATAAGAAGTAACTGCTAGAAGCTCATTAAAGTGAGATCCAATCCAATGGAAATAAGATAACCTTTATTGTCATTTTCCTGTATACATAAAGGCAAACATTAAAATGAAATTCCAACGTGGGAGGAGGAATTGCCTGGCAGGGAAGAACAATTAATCAATGGAACAGCTTCAGAAGTTGTGGGTGCTCCATCACTGGAAGTTTTTAAGAAGAGATTGGGCAGCCATTTGTCTGAAATGGTTTCCTGCTTGAGCAGGGGGTTGGACTAGAAGACCTCCAAGGTCCCTTCCAACTCTGTGTCCTATAATTAGCTGAATAAATTAACATAAATTGTGATAAATTGTGGACACTCCATCACTGGAAGCCATGGTTTTCCCAGTTGCAATGTACAGCGGTGAAAGTTGGACCATAAGAAAGGCTGAGCGCCAAAGAATGGAGGCCTTTGAACTCTGGTGCTGGAGAAGACTCCTGCGAGTCCCTTGGACTGCAAGGCGATCAAACCGGTCAGTCCTAGAGGAGATCAACCCCGACTGCTCCTTAGAAGGCCAGATCCTGAAGTGGAAACTCAAGTCCTTTGGCCACCTAATGAGAAGGAAGGACTCCCTGGAGAAGAGCCTGATGCTGGGAAAGATTGAGGGCAATAGAAGAAGGGGACGACAGAGGAGGTGGCTGGATGGAGTCCCTTAAGTAGTAGGCATGAGCTTAAATGGACTCCAGAAGATGGTAGAGGACAGGAAGGCCTGGAGGAACATTGTCCATGGGGTCGCGATGGGTCGGATACAACCGCAACTAACAACTCTTGCTGAGATTAGAGGGTTGGACTAGAAGACCTCCAAGGATCCCTTCCAGCCCTAACCCGATTCTATGTTCATGATTGAGCACTTCAGTCTCTTCATAGAATCCTCCTCCCTAGTGACACGCATCCTTGCAAGAACCCCAAAATTATTACGAAGTTTTCCAACTTCATTCATTTCTGGGCTTTCCTGGTGGTCTCTCATCCAAGACTGACCCACTCTAAATGTTGTTTAGTGCTGCCACTCTGCTGAGAGTTAGCCAAGCCAAGCCCAAATCTGCAAGTCAGCATACGGCTTGGCTGCACCGCCTTCTCGGTGGGGATGATGGGTATTGTTATCCCAGCCATCCTCAGAAGGCTCTTCGTGTCCTCGGAATTATCCGCTGGCGGGTTGTGTGTTGAGGTGACAATGGGCGTGCCGCTTGCAGACATCCCAGTCTCTTATTTGCATTTATTTACAAAAGCGAGACGTTGCCTCAACGAACTCATCTCCACAGAGAAGGAAAAAACTATTCCTAAAAAGGGCGGGGAAAAAAAAAGCAACGGCTTTTATAGACTCCGTCTTTGTCCTCTCCCCGCCTCTCCCTCTCAAGCAGCCAATGAAAGAGCGTGATGCATTACAGACAGGGAAGGTAAACCATTTGTGGGAGGGGAAAAAAGGAAAGGACGTCGCCTGACAGCGCTGATTGGTCCACTGAAGAAAAAAAAACAGAACGAAAACGAACTTTCCAACGGCGAACGCGATAGAGAAGGCGAGAGAGAGAGAGCCAAAACATCTGCACGTGACTTCAGAGGCGGGGCCAATGGGAAAGCGAGTCTCCTCTGACGTTATGGCTCTTGCCGCCACGCCCCCTTCTCGGTTGATAAGGATACCTCAGAGAAACGAAAAAGGGAAGAGTCGTTCTCCGGCCCAGAAAGTGCCCGCCCGATTTCTGTATATTTTAGAGCAAAACAAGGGAGTGCAAATGTCCGTAGACGCCCCTGTAAGCTTAAAAATCATGAAAAGTCAAGATTTCCCCAGTGACTTCCAGTGAAAGCGGATGAACAGGAGAAAATGCCCGTCCCTTTTCTTATCTCTGTGGGCGAGGGCGCTTCCGCGATAGAGATGCCGCGGGCTAGAGCGGCCCCACCGAAACGCGGCTTGGCTCTTCTTCCGGAGCGACTCCCGCCATGGTGCGGTTTAAGAACCGGTGAGGCTTCCACGGGCGGCGGGGACGGGCTGGCCGCTTCGCCCGGGAGCTGGGGGAGCGCGACGGCGGTGGCGGGCAGGCGGCGCCCACGTACGGCCGAGACAACGGCTGCCTTCCCACGACGCGTGCAAACGCGGGTCGAGTGGATTATGCGGGTGTCTCGTGTGAACGCAGCCAGTCCGAGCTGAGGCTTCGCAGGGAGTTTCAGGCAGGAATTGGGAAGTAGTGGAAATCCGGACTGTGGATGCAGAGATGGGGAGTCGGGGAGAGAAAGAGGAGCGCTTTGCTTTATTGTGATTAATATTTATATGTGATTAATATTTATATTGTGATTAATATTTATATGTGAGGGTGTAGGTTTATAGAATAGAATATATTGTCATTGTGTAACTCGCAACGAAATTAAGTAGTATAGTATATACATGTATGTAGTTATATGCAGGTATATACAACATGTTGTGTATACTATAGCATGTTTATATTTATGCTATGCATGTGTACACTTTGAGAGCAGGCAATAGCGTTTCATTTTTAATGTGTGCCAGTGTGCCCACTAAAAAAAATGACAATAAAAGTTATCCGTTTAACCGATTGATCCTGCTGGAAAAGTGCTTATTTTTGTTTGAACCGTCTGCAAAAGGTTTTGGGGATTGAACTGGATGCATTGGCAAATAAAGCACATTTGGAAAACTTAAGCAGAATACTTTTGTAAAAAAATTTTTTTGCTTCTAGGCTTTTAATTATTATGTGTAAAGGAGAAGGTTGTATTTGCTCTGGTTTAGCCACTAAATTCTCTTGTTGCTGTAATGGGAAGCTTTTACTGTTGCAGCTCTGAGATCCCTTTCCTGTAAAATAGTATATAATGTTTCAAATAAATAATGTTGCTGGCCAAATGAAGAAGCCCTGGTCGACTTGATCTCAAAGGTCCCAAATCGGTCCTTTCATGGCTTTATCTGACAAGGGCAGGAATTGGTGCTACTGTCTGTGGTTATCACTTTCTCAACTATTAAAACATCTGTTTTCATGTGTCTATACAAGTATAGAAAAAACACAGTGCATGTGTGCGCCTAGGCAACCCTGCTCTTTGTCTGATTTGGAGGTTATGAAGGTCTTCTGCTGCCCAGCTGCATAAAGCTGGTGGTGCACGATGGGTAGCTTTAAGAGCCCTTTCTTTGATCTTCTGCTCTGCTTTTCCAGGTACTTCCTCTGCGAGATCATCTCCGAAGACCCTCGCTGTCGGCAGTTCATTGAGGAGCGCATCGTGCACAGTGCGGTGAAGAATGCAGTTGCAAGAATACATGGAGACTTTGGAGTCGCCTGTTGCTCAATTGCTTTTTCAGGTCTGGTTTCCAGGGTTTTGCTAGTGCAGGTTCTCCTTGACCAGGGGTAGGCAACCTTGGCTCTTTTATGACTCGTGGACTTCAACTCCCAGAATTCCTGAGCCAGCCATGCTGAGGGGAAAGGGAGAAGTTTCCAAACTGAGCCATGCTGGCTCAGGAATTCTGGGAGTTGAAGTCCACAAGTCATAAAAGAGTCAAGGTGGCCTACCTCTGGCCTAGGCCTAGGCCGCTTTATGACTGGTGGACTTCAACTCCCAGAATTCCTGAGCCAACATAGCTCAGCATAGAAACCTCTCCCTTTCCCCTCAGCATGGCTGGCTCAGGAATTCTGGGAGTTGAAGTCCACGAGTCATAAAAGAGCCAAGGTGGCCTACCCCTGTCCTTGACTAAGGGCTGTGACGGAACCTGTTCATTGCAGTTGTGATGGTTGTAAAATAAGTCATTGTGTCACCGACCTAATTTTATGACTTGCAATGGTTGCTAAACAAGTCACCATGGCCATTGAGCAAATCCATTGTTTGCTATGGGTCGTTTTTGCTGAGGTGTTTGGCAATTCTGGCTGGGGAATCCTAGGAGTTGAACTCCACAAGTCTCAAAGTTGTCAATTTTGAAAACCCTTGCCGTAAACTAAAGGAAGCCACACTTTTTTTTCCTGAAAGGAGGAAAACTTCGCGTGCTGCCCAGGTCCCACCACTTCCCCTGACATGTTTCTCTGGTTTCTCTCTTCAGTAAAATACCTGAATGCCTACACGGGAGTGGTTCTCTTCTGCTGCCGGAAATATTTTTATCGGCTTCTGTGGTCGTCTCTTCCCTTTATTACTCAGTTAGAAAATAGGAGCCAACACTGCCCCTGTTCTTTTAACACCCTTCATGTTGGAGGTAAGCTTTCTCTTGTAAGAGTCTGCATTTAACAGGGCATATTTTTTAAAAACCTGCACTGCACTGCAGTAGAAATTGAGAGGAAATGAGTTTTAGTCCTGCTTTAGGCACAAAGACACCTGGGTGACTTTGGGCCTGCCACACAGACAGACCAGGAAAAGGACAAAGCAAACCAATAAAACTGCAGGGGTTTTACTTGTTCAGGCAGCCTCTGGGAATCAGACATGATTGAACAGGAGGGGGTAGGAATCAAAAGGATAAATATGTGGGGAGGGGGAGTTTCCCAACATTACCTCCTTAGATATAGCCATCAGGGATGGGCATCAGTCTAAGGCAGGGGTGTCAAACTTAATTTCATTGAGGGCCGCATCAGCATTGCGGTTGCCCTCGGGGGTGGAGGGTGGTGGTGGCCAGGGTGTGTGCAGCCTACTGGGTGGGCGTGGATGGAGTGGGTGTGGCCTACTGGGTGGGCATGGCCAGCTCTACATCGTTTGCGTCAAGGGTGCCTGTGGGGGCCTGGGCAGGAGTGGGGCAGATCTGAGGGTCTCCGGCAGAAGGGGGTGGGACCGGGGCAAGTGCCAAGGCATGGTGCATTTCTTCATTCCTCACAAAGGGTGACCCCTCCCCAGCATGCACCCAGGGGACGGGGCCGACGCAGCAGGGGCTGGTTTCTTGCTGTTTCCGGACGGCCTTGTGGAGCTAAGACTGAATGCATTTCAGCATAAATGGCCACCACAAAATTGTACATTGGCTCCCGGCCGGCCTGGGCCAGGGCCAAGGCAGCGGGGGCCGTTCCCTCACTGTTTCCAGAATGGCTTCGCGGGCCACATGAAACCACTTTGCGGGCCGCATTCAGCCCCCGGGCCTTGTGTTTGACATGTCTGATCTAAGGGCTCTATACCTTTTTGTGAAGCAACTCAAAAGGATTCTATGATCTGGATATATTAAATCAATATCAAGAGTTTTTTCATAGGCACAAATTGTCCAGAAGTGCTGTTAGTGTAGTTGGGGTCCATCCAGAAATCATGCTGGAAGCAGTTCAAAAAAATTATTTTCTTTTGAACCAGTATTGGGTAACAGTTATGTGTACATAACGTAGGCAACAAGCCAGTCAGTTAATTTCTTTCACAACCAGTGGATCAACACTTGGTTGATCTGAAAATAGAGGAGCCTGCTTTTGAGAGAAAGCACTAGTAAAAAAAAAAGTTGTGTGTACATGTTATTTCTATGCTAAAATAGAATGCACTTTAAATATAACTGATTTCTGGATTTCATAAATAGTAAATACAGTCTTCCAAGTCATCAAATGGCAGCAGAGATAGAGAGCAGTGGTGTTTTGCTGTCCTCTAGTGGTTATCTGGATTGTTGCAGCTCGGATATTGTAGCCTAATCTTCAAAAGTCTTTGATGTATAGCAGTGATGGCGAACCTTTTAAAAACTGCAACCCAAAACCCACCTATGCATCGTCGAGTGCCGGGTGGGTGTGGCCAATTGGGTGGGTGTGGCCCATTGGGTGGGCGTGGCTGCAGTGGAAACAGCAGACTGGGTGGGACTAAAAAGTTCAATCAATGAATTCCAACTTTGCAAGATCTTTTTTTTCCCCATGAGAAGTTGAAATTGACTGATTGAATCTTTTTTTTTTTTTTGCACACGGCGGCGGAGGCCTAAAGCGAAAAGCTTTTATAAAACCCAGCTGAAGGCCTAGGACTGGGGCGACGGCACGTGTGCCCAAAGAGAGGGCTCTGAGTGCCGCCTCTGGCACCCCTGCCATAGGTTCGCCACCACTGATGTATAGTCTTCATTTCTTGCTTATCTGTTAAAAATGGGCAACAAGAATATCTCATTGTGGTTTACTCTTGTTACTTTTTCCATTGTGTCTCCTTCCATATATTTGGTGCCCACAAGATTTTTATTTGATGAATATTTTTGACCTCTCCTGCTACAATCTGTTTCCTGGCTTTTTTTAAAAAATCCATTACTCTGAGTGAATATTTAGGCTGCAAGTATTTCCTTGCCTGCAGAGTCCTGATGTCTTCCCTTCTCTGCTTCTAGCAACAATACGCACGTGTCAGAAATTCCTCATTCAGTACAACAGGGACCAGCTACTGCTGCTCTTACGGAACTGTACCAATGAAGGTAATTAATTGTAATCTGGAATGTTGGCCTAGCCCTGAGCAAAGTGCTGCAGCCTCTAACTTAGAACAGAATAACAGAGTTGGAAGGGACCTTGGAGGACTTCTAGTCCCTCTACTTGAGCAGGAGACCCTTTACCAGTTGGACAAATGGTTGTCCAGTCTCTTCTCGAAAACTTCTAGTGATGGATCCCCCACAACTTAACCTTCCTTTCTAAAAATCTCTCTGAAACCCAAGTAAGACCTATAAGCTTTCAATAAAATGAGGAATGAGGCAGTGACAGGCCATAGCTTGATAAATCAGTTCTTTAGAGCTGCGTTGTCTGTAGTGGTTGCTTTTTAAAAAAAAAAAATGAACTGCAGCCTCCAACCCAGGAATTATGCAGATTCCTGTTAGAGGAAGACAAATCCTTGTATATCTCCTCGATTAGTGGCAACCTGAAAATAGGTGGACTTCAATTCCTAGAATCCCCCTGCCAGTTGCCGAGGTAGAGAAACACTGTCCTAGCTAGTCTGAGATCAGAATGCCTTCTAAAAAGAGATTGAATCTAACATTACCAAGAATTGGTTACTAATTACTTAAGCACTGGGGCTCCCTTGGGCTTCTTCCTCTCCCCCCCCCCCTTTTTTTGGCTACTTTAATTTTTTTCTTTAAATCAAATCCCCTGTATATTTTTCACAAAGATTGACTATCACCCACGAGTACAGTACAGTGGGAGTACTGAAAACCTGTGCAGAATACCAGCTTCCTGGAAATCTGAACTTGTTTCTTCTCATTTCTAATTCCTAATGCTCAAAAAGTTAAATCTGGATTGTGTATGAATAGTCAAAGCCATGCTAAAGGCAAAAGGTGGGTGGCAGCCATTTGGGTTGTTGCTCCAGATGCTTGAACTCAAGACCAACAGGGTCAGACAATCCAGAACGGCCATTCATTGGGTGGGGAATTCTGGGTGCTGCAGTCCAAGTTGGGGGAAGGAATGCTATAGGATTATTTTTCAAGCTTGTTAACTGTTAAGACTTCAACTTCCAGACTTCCTCAGCCAGCAGAAAGTGAGTGGCTGGGGAATTCTGGGATTTGAAGTCCACAAGACTTGTTGAAGTTGCCAGGATTGAAAAACACTAGACATCCCATTGCCATTATTTCAACTAAATGAGGTGTAAGAACCCACCTCTATTTACATCTTAAGAAAACAGAACTCTTGGAATGTCTCTTCCAACAGGAATTTTTATTAAGAGAAACTGATTGCAGGCATGCTAGACAGGATCTGAGGGATTCCCCCCCACACACACACACCATTCAATGTTTTAAAGTGTTCCCAAGCAGCCCCCACCCCACAGTTCTTCCGGGCGATTCAATCCGTCAGTCCGCTCCGTTGGCACGATCACTCATTCTCTCTTCTCCCAGATCCCAGGCATTGCATTTCTCCCCCCCCCTTTTCCCTCGCTGCCCGCAAAGGGGAGAAATTCAGAGTAGGATGAAAAGTGATGGCCGAATTGTTATGGTTAGTACTCTCAAAGAGAATCAACAAAAGATCACTTTGTAGTTAATGAAGGAAGTGAGAGTCATAAACCGCCCATGCTTTCCCTCCTCCCCTTTCGTAAGACAGAATCCAGAAGAGAGTAAGAATTGGTTTTATATCAGAGTAGGTAGATAGAAATGAAATATAATTGGATTCTGACATGAGGGCCACTGGAAGAGGGTGAGGCCCATGCCAATGACGGTGTCTTGCACATTCCTTTCACCTGTTTTACCAGCTGATAGAGAAGCTATCCGGAAGTCGGTCGAGAGCTGTGTGCTGGTGGGAGTGGAGCAGTTCCAGAGTAAAGAGGAAGAGAGTGAGGAGAACATGGACTGAATTACATCACTCCTGAAGTGCAAGGAGAAGGGTTGTGTGCTTCTCATGGGCAAGGATCAGCACTTGCCCCCCCCCAATTCTATTTTTATTTTATTTTTACATGTCTGTTTATAAAACTAGCTGAAGCTGTGTGTATTGCACCAATCTGCCTCCCACAGGCCTCTGCTCCTGTTTGCTCCAGGGGAGGGGAGGGAAGCTTTTGACCCATAGGAAAACCACAAGGAGCTGGACACTGGGTGGAAATTATGGTGTAGCATGATGTCTGTTTTCTGAGTGTGGCTTTAGTGCATTTCCTAGAAAACTAAGACCATGAATGCACAAGGACAGCCCAACAGTGGGGTCCACTGGTGGATTTGCAGAGTGCAGTTCGCAAGTCTGCAAAGATGGCAGCCTGGGCAGCAAGTAAGCGTGGTTGGCAGCACCCAACAGCCCACGGAGTAGGCAAAATGGTGTCCTTCCTTCTCAGATAGGAGCAGCAAAAGGCTACCCAAGTGAAATCCCACTTGACGAGCAGCAGCAAATCCAGAAGATTGTTTGGGATGTAATTAGCAAGAGTTAACAAGATCTGAATTTGGAAGATGCACGTTTTTGTACATTTTCCTTTTTTTGAATCATTCTGATAATTTCATATTGTAGTTGGGTTTATTATTTTGAAGGCATACCACAAACAGAGACTAGAATTCTTTGCAGAATACTGTTCTAAGAGGCTAAACAATGAAATAAAAAACCAAAATTTCATGAGTGTGCATTGTTTTCAAGGGTGTGTGTGTGTGTTGGTGGATGAAATGAGCTATCCAGACTCTCAGGATTAGAGGGCATTCAAATGTGTATGTATCTATCATGCCTCTGTTTATACAACCCAGGATTGTATTAGCTTTTTTGGTTGCTGCTGCACACGGCTGGCTCATGGTCAAGTGATCGTCCACTTGGACTCCAAGGTCCCTCTCACAGTTACTGTTTTTGAGCTTTTGGGGGCATGCCGTGTCATATAAATATTGACAGCGTGGTCTGTGAATCTTGGATTTAGCACACAGAAAGCCATTAGACATCCTGCTGGCTGAAGTACAAATAGTTGTACTATTTTGTATCTGAAGCCAAAGCAGCATCTACAGGGAGCCCTCTACTTATAACCATTCATTTAATAAAGGTTCAAAACTTATGACATCCTCGAAAAAGTGACGTATGGCCCATCCTTGAAGTTACCACGTCACGTGACCCTCGTAGTCACGAGATGAGAAGCTGGGTGCTTGGCAGCCAACTCATCTGTGATTGTTGCAGGAGTCTTGCGGTCACACGATCATGACCCGAGTCCTTCCCAGTCGTCTTCTGACAAGCCAAGTGAATCAGAGAAACCAGGTTTACTTAAGTGCGTGATTCACTTAATGACGTGACTCACTTAGCAATTGCGGTCATTGTTTATTCATTAAACTTCTATGCCACCCATCTCGTCCAAAGGTGACTCTAGGCAGCTTACAATCAATAAAAACAAGATAAAACGTTAGGACAATATTAACACTAAAATTGATTTAAAAATCGACAGATAGGAAGGAGGGGAGCAAGGTACACACTGAGAGGAGGGGGGGGGGCTTAGCTTAAGAACCAGGGTAAAACTGGTTATAAAATCGGACTTAGTCCCCTGGTGACTCACTTAACCACTATACTGCTTGGTGACCGAAATTGGTCAAGTCAAGGATCACTTGTGTTACCAAAAACAAGTTTCTACAAGCCCACCATATACCAAGGGAAGATTCTCAGGGAGGAACATATACAGTCTTTCAGGTATGACTTAAGCGAGGTTATTCCAGGCATCTACTACTAAAAGAGATCACACAGATCATTGGTCTGTTAGTCTTAAGTTGCTGCCTGATGCGTTGTTGGTTTGGTCTGCAATGGAGTAACAAAGCCACAGCTTCCTGTTCTGGAAGATCGGCTGCATGTTTTTGACCCGGGCAGTGTCTATTCATAACGAAGCAAGCCGATTCCAAATGAGTCTGACTCAATCAAAAATAGAACAAGGAAAAGAAAAAAAAAAGAAACCCTGCAGAAATACCAACTTGTGCATATGGTTTATTGCAACTATTTACCTTTGCTGGTAGATTACACTGAATTTTATCGTAGTCAATGGAAATGACACTTTAGTACAAATTAATTTCAGATCAAGCCAAAAGCAGCGCAGAAGGAGAGCTTTTCTCAAACAGAAGAAACAAAAGTGGGGAAAGAACACACATCCTATCCAACTGGATTTGGGCACCCAGCAAATGCCAGGCTCCTCTGGGTTGCCCCTTCTGTGCAAAGGGAAATGCTACTCCCCATCCCTCCCTCCCTCCCTCTCCCCAGGAATTAGCACCTTCACCCCAAAAGCAGCCACTGCACACGGACTGACCATGGTAGCTTTCATCCAAGAAAACTTCTGCAAACACCGGTCTTCGCAGAAAGACGAAGAATAGCAAGGGGAGACAGGAACTAAGTTATGTGCACCACAACCTACTGCGCATCCAAGTGCTAATTAAGTGGGCACAGCAATCAGCAAGTATCGGCTAGTGCAGGGGTAGGCAACCTTGGCTCTTTTATGACTCATGGACTTCAACTCCCAGAATTCCTGAGCCAGCCATGCTGGGAGTTGAAGTCCACGAGTCATAAAAGAGCCAAGGTTGCCTACCCTTGGGCTAGTGTCTTCCCTATGTCCCAACAACTTGGTTGCGCTTAGCCCACTGCAGCCCCAGGCTGATCGCATTCAACCCGTCACCCAAATAGCAAAAGCAGCTGTGCACCCTCCACCCAGATGTTGTACTTCCACAGCCCAACGGCAAGCCAGGTAAACAGAGTCAGCCTGGCATATAACACACATCCTTTTGGACAGGGGTGTGTGTGTTGCAATACTTCAGTTTGGTATCAGCAAGCAAACAACATATGCCCATTTTTAATCATCCCTAGCCCCCTCCCACCCACCCCGCTTCTCAGAAACAGATTTGTGTCCGGACTAAAATAATTTATCTATAGCAGCAAAAACACAAAAGCAAACCAAATAAATCAAAAGGAGGAAGAATTTGCCCATTAATAAAATCACTTTGTATGAACCACTGAAGTACTGAACAGGAGTTTTTGCTTCTGCTTCTTTTTTTTGCCTCGCTTTTCCTCTGCAAAAGAAAAAAGAAAAACAGCCATCAGAGCCTTTCCAACTGGTTTTCCCAGTTGCAATGTATGGCTGTGAAAGTTGGACCATAAGAAAGGCTGAGCGCCAAAGAATGGAGGCCTTTGAACTCTGGTGCTGGAGAAGACTCCTGCGAGTCCCCTGGACTGAAGGCGATCCAACCGGTCAGTCCTAGAGGAGATCAACTCCGACTGCTCTTTAGAAGGCCAGATCCTGAAGTGGAAACTCAAGTCCTTTGGCCACCTAATGAGAAGGAAGGACTCCCTGGAGAAGAGCCTGATGCTGGGAAAGATGGAGGGCAAGAGAAGAAGGGGACAACAGAGAATGAGGTGGCTGGATGGAGTCACGGAAGCAGTAGGCAGGAGCTTAAATGGACTCCAGAAGATGGTGGAGGACAGGAAGGCCTGGAGGAACGTTGTCCATGGGATCGCGATGGGTCGGACACAACTTCGCAACTAACGAAACGGGTAGCCCAGCTGCACCTGCATTTCTGCACAGAATTAAGGGCTAACAACGCCTTTTTCCTTGACTTACCTAAGAGGTGGTCAGAAGTGGACGGTGTGTCCAGTTTCAGGAAGGCTGCCTCGATAGCTTTACTGAACGAGTTCTGGAAACTAGGCACAGGCACACGGTCCGAGCTGTCGCTCTCCGCATCGCTGTCTCCTGGAGCCAGAAGTGCCCCAGTGAGGGTCTCTTCTGAAAAATGAGTGGGGGTCTCTTCTGAAAAATGTGGCTTTGAGATTCCTGGAAAGGCTAAACAGGCTCTCACACCATCATCACGATGGAATAACGACGACAGAGCTCTTCTCGGGTGGCTCTCCCTTTGCCAGGAAAAGATTGAGGTCTTGGGCCTTCCAGGTGGCACGTGTGTTAAAATGTACAACTCATCTGAATATTACAGGAGTGTTTTAGGGCTTTCCTTGGTTCATTTTACTTTTAATCTTATTGACAGAGGCTCACGTTTAGTGCATCTCATCATTGTTGTTGGCCATTTCAAATGTGAGGCCCAAGATGTCAACGCTGCAAATACTGTATATTCTTGCTTTGACAATATGCAGAACTGTCTGGTATTTTTATAGTTAAATCAGGCAACAGTGAAAGGGGAGGAGAATAAGGAAAGCCCGGGAAAAAGAAACAGGAAGTAAATCACATCTTCCAAGTTAATTGGAAGATGTGAACCATGACCCCAAAATAGGGGAGGGAAAAATGCCTGGAATGTATGTGCAACGGAAAAGAATCTCAGATCTAAGCATTTCCACCATGCCGTACTGACATCTCTGTAACCTTAATAAATGCTTTTAGGAGAAAATATGCCTGAAAGTCCTTTTAAGTGTTTCGTTAATCAGACACATGACACAAGAAAGATAGGATTATCAAGTGAGACCTTCACAGCACAATTATTTAGAAAGGGCTACTTTAAAAAACTGCTGAATATAACCAGCAGCTCCCTCACACTGGTGATCTTATTAGATGATGAAAGGTCTTCAGGCAAATGAACCACCTCCTCAGAGAGAGCACCAAGGGCTAGCCCAACAGAATAATCCCACTTACCTTTCTTCTTTGGCTGAGAACCAATCCACAGTTCTGGTTTGGCTTTTCCAGCCCTCAGCATCTGAAAAGTTGCAAGATGGGACTCAGAAACCAGATTATTCGCCTCACATGCTGATTTTTTTTATTGATTTGGGAATCAAGCTGGATCATCATCTGTCTACCAAGTGATTACCCATAAAACTGCTTGTAACAAATGATAGAGGGAACAGCAATTTCTACCATTCAGATTTGTCTCAGCAGTGGAGGCCAAGTTCAGTCTCAACTCCTGCACTCCAGAAAATGAGACGGTCTTCCAAACAGCCGCACCCACCTGAGCAAATGAGGGGAAGGCAGGGTCCTCCTCCAGGCTTCCAATAAGGAATGGGGGGCTGCCAAGGCTGGAAGATGACAGCGGAGTCAGCAAGGACTCTGGAAGACACAAAGGCAAATATTGAGTATGAGAATGAAGACTCGTTACTAAAGAGGCCGGGAACATAAGTTACAGATTTTTGATACTGTGCCCCCCAAATTCCACTTTTAACTTGTAACCAGTAACGAGGGTTACTGTATTAACCCTCGTTTTTCAGACATGGGCATCCTGTAATTGATTTTCAGTTCTCTTAAGAGTTCCAGCTTGCAAACGTCTATCGCTTTGCCTTTGAAAGCATCTGGCAGGCCTGCGGCTGCATTACTGTCCCCTTGGACTGAGATATTATGCAAATGTTAAGTGTCACCACTGACTGGTGCAGGAAACGGAATTGAATAAGCCTTTACAGAAGTGTGTCAACGCTGCAAATACTGTATATTCTTGCTTTGACAATATGCAGAACTGTCTGGTATGTATATAGTTAAACCAGCAACCGGGAAAGAGGGAGGAGCATAAGGATAGCCCGGGAGAAAGAAACCTGAAGTAAATCACATCTTCCAAGTTGATTGGAAGATGTGAACCATGACCCTACAATAAGGGAGTGGGAAATGCTTGGAATGTTATGCCTAACGGAAGAGAAGCCAGACCTAAGCATTTCCACCATGCTGTACTGACGTCTCTGTAACCTTAATAAATGCTTTTAGGAAAAAAATATGCCTGAAAGTCCTTTTAAGTGTTTCGTTAATCAGACACATGACAAAGTGTTTCTCAACCACGGCAAATGTAGGATGTATGGACTTCAACTCCCAGCATGCTTGACTGGGGAATTCTGGAAGTTGAAGTCTGCCCATCTTCAAGCTGCCAAGGTCCAGAAATGCTGCTTTAGAAGACGCTGCGGATGGCTGAAGTTGCTTTGGCTGCTCACCTGACTGGGAAGTGGGACTTCCTCCAACACAAGCTGGCAGCACGTGGCTCTCGTTCTCAGGACCAGCAGGCTCTCCGGAGCCAGCGCTGAAGGCCGGAAACTGCTGCAGGTTCTCTAACGCAATCCGGACCTCTGGATCTAGACGTAAAAGCAGAAGTTCCACTTCCATAACGAACTCAATAGTTTTCCCAGGAGCAATGCCTTCAACAGCACTGCGGCTTCGCTACTTGAAACAGCTTTGCTCCATTCTTGCACTTGGCAAGCAAACTTTGCCAAAGTATGGTGCAAATGATCCCTTACTACAGACTTTGTTTTCCATCTCTGCCAAACTAGGCCTAGACTTCCGCCTTTCCCCCTTCCATGCAGTTGTGCCTGATTGGACAAGCACCCTGCGGTTTTCTTGGCAAGGTTTTCCAGAAGTGGCTTGCCACTGCCTCTTTCCCAGGGAGGGGAGAATGTGCCTAGACCAGTGTTTCTCAACCTTGACAATTTTAAGGCATGTGGACTTCAACTCCCAGAATTCCACAGCCAGCAATGCTGGCTGTGGAATTCTGGGAGTTGAAGTCCACATGCCTTAAAATTGTCAAGGTTGAGAAACACTGGCCTAGACCCTTGGCTTTGTGCCCATGGCAGGATTAGAACGCACGGTCCCCGAGGTAGCTAGATGCCTTCGCCACTACACCAAAACTGGCTCACTCTGCCTGCATACTGGGTAATAAAAGACACAAAGATGAGCTGTGCTCAGGACTGCCACTCACATCTGCCCTGCTTCTTGTTTTCCTCCATCTCAATTCTGCGTTCCCGACGTCGTTCGTCACGTGCTTTCTTCTGCCTAAGCCGCTTTCGTTTTTCAATGTCATCTAAGGGCCGTTGAAAGAGAGTCTTGTGTCAGAATCCAATTATATTTCATCTCTAGTTATCAACGATGGAAAACCCCATTTCTGCCTTCTCTGGATTCTGTCATACGATGAAGGGAAGGGGGTGAACAAAGGGACTTTAGGACCCTCACTTCCTTCAGTATACTTCAAAGGGACTGGATGTGGATATCACCAAAAGGACTAACAATAACAATGGGGGCCATTACCTTTCATGTAATCCTTTCTGAAGTCTCTCCTCCCGGCAGTGAGGAAAAGGGGGTGGGAATGTAATGCCTGGGACTGTCGCTGGGAGAAGGGGGTGATGGAGTGTGGCTAATGGGGGATCCCTTAAAACCTTGAATGGGAGAGCTTGGACCCCAGGTCCTGTCTAGAACGCCTGCAATCATTTTCTCTTAATAAAGATGCCTGTTGGAAGAAATATTCCAAGAGTTCTGTCTTCTTAAGATGCAAAGTGGGGTGGGTCCTTACATCTTGGTGAGATGGGCTACTCCGGGCAACCACATCTCTCCGGCGCAGCCTTTCCGGGAACTGGGCTTTCCGGTTCCTCTCCCCTATCCCTCAGAAGCCCAACCCAGCGCTCGGACTTCAAATTTCACTGACTACTGAAGTCATTCATGGATCCAGTCTCTCACGTCCAAATTCAATACTTCCGTTAACTGCCTTTCTTTTTTTCAGCCCAAATCTCAAATACTAGATTTTTCTAAGCAGAACATTCGTTTTTCCTCACTGGTTTAATTTAAAAATGAGAGGATACTTTGTCTGAGCTGTTTTTTAGGTCGTGTTTCTTGTGGGTAGTGTAAGTTGGAACTTGAAAGTAAAGCTGTTGACTAAATCCCTGAGGATTTCATGGCCACGTCCATCAAGCTTTCTTAGGCCCAAGAGGAACCCGCCTGAACCTTTTCTCCCCTGCCCCAGAACAGCCTCCAGCTGCAGCATCCCTAGCGGTCTCCCAACTAAAAAAAACTAAGCGTGGCTCAACTCTGAGCTCCCGTGGGTTTGTCAGGTGCTGCCACCTGCTAAACCAGTGGTTCTCAACCTTTTTAATGCCGCGACCCCCAACTGGTCGTAAGTCGAGGACTAAACCGGTCGTAAGTCGAGGACTTTCCCTGCCTGGGAGCGCCGCGCATGCGTGGTTCCGCCCCCTGCGCCGGCCGAGGCGTAGCTGGCAAGCAGCAGAGACGGAGCAGGCCGACCACCAGCTGGCCCAGCCCAAGGGAGGTAAGGCACCCGCCGGAAAAGGGGAAAACAAATGGCGGACAGCCTTGCTTGGCGACCCCCGTGAAATGGTCGATCGACCCCAAATGGGGTCACGACCCATAGGTTGAGAACCGATGTGCTAAACAGAGGATTAACCTTTTCTTGGAATCCTTTTCTATAACAGAAAGCCGAACTCCTAGCGCTCCGCTTTTCTCATCTCACCTGAAAACATCTGCAGTGTTTCCTTCGAAATGACAGGCGGCTTCAAAGCTAATTCACAGATACTGAACTCACAGGTGAGGGGCAAATGGCAGAGGTAGCGATGACGCTGACGCACATCCTGCAGGCGGGAGTTGTGGTTTAGAGACGAGAAACGGACCCCCAACTCTTCTCCCCCCCCCCAACTCCGCTCTTCCGATTGCCAGCGTGCAAAACAGGCAATCCCAAGAGGCTCCCAGGAAGAGTTTGAGCAAGGACTGAACTGAAACATCTCCTAGCAGACGAGAAATCTGATGCTCATCCCAGAGCAGGGGTAGGCAACCTTGGCTCTTTTATGACTCGTGGACTTCAACTCCCAGAATTCCTGAGCCAGCTGTGCTTGAAGTCCACGAGTCATAAAAGAGCCAAGGTTGCTTACCCCTGTCCCAGAGGCAACATCTGGCCATCCACAAGGACCCCAGGCCCACTCGTTACCTCCGTCATTGAGTGGCCAGATATCTCCACCACAGTAGCTGTGATCTCCTCTGGACTCTTCTCCAGGCTCCCATATTCATGCACGAGGCAACGGACATTCACTGGGTGCAGATACAGACACTGCCCGTCTTCAGCTGCACCATCAGAAAAAAAACAACAGTTGCAGGACAGTTATTTAAGGTTAGGAACTTAGAACAGGGTAGGCCACCTTGACTCTTTTATGACTGGTGGACTTCAACTCCCAGAATTCCTGAGCCAGCCACGCTGAGGGGAAAGGGAAAGGTTTCCAAGCTGAGCCATGCTGGTTCAGGAATTCTGGGAGTTGAAGTCCACCAATCATGAAAGAGCCAAGGTGGCCTACCCTGTTCTAATTGTTTGACATCCCCCTTAAAACACAAAACTTCTCCCCAACACCCAGCACTACGGGGCTGACCTTGGTAGAAATAATAGGAAGGAGGACTCTGTGTGTGTCCGCTGGCAAACACAGCCTTGGGTTTTCCAGAGGCAGAGGCACTCAGAATGGCGTCCCCTGCTTCACTTGGGCTTGCCGGATCCGTGTTCCTCTCCATGCCGTTATCCGCCGCTGCCTCTGCACTGTCCAAAGCAGGGGGGTTTCCACTCGCGGGAGCCACGGGGGGAGATTCCAGCGATTCATCATGGAAAGCAGAAAGATATTCTAGCGTGCACTGCAACAATTAAAAAAAGCAGCTGGTACCCACTGGTCCTGTCCCAGTTAATTTCTTCTCTTCTTTCCCTCTGTCAAGACAGCAGAGGCCAGCACAAAGACAAGGGAGGGAAACAATGGCTGGGAAGAGAAAATTGGAGAATCAAACTCCAGAATAATGGCCACGTTTGTCTTTATTTTAAAACTCGGTAGAAACGGCTTGCACAATGGGCAGCGCTCAGGAGACAAAGGGTTCTCGGGGAATCTCTGGGCAGACACGAGCAAGGGCCTCGGTTCCTCACTCCCGGGCACTCTCAAACTCTCACCACTGCCTTCAGACAACCCACAAACAAGCCCACAAGAAGATACTGGAGATCCTTCCTCCGGCTTCCTGCTCTTCCTGCGCACATGGGCTACTCAGTGCTTACCAAAACAGCAGGAGGCCTTTAGGCAGAAAAGATCACCCACCCCTGTTTTAAAAACCCGCTTCTGTCAATGCTGCTAACATCGGATGTTCTTGCTTGACAAAATATGAAGATGCAGCCATTTTCTATTTAACCTGTGTATTACTTTTAGAGTTAAAATTAGATAGTTGATGGGAGGGAGGCGGGGAAGAATGTACTTGCGGACTAGCTAGCCATAACAATATCTCAGTAGAGTATTTTCAAGGTTAGTTGTAATGGGAGAAGATGAGGGGAGAGAAAGTTCACACTTCAAACTAATTGGAGAACGTGATTGATGACTGTTAAATGAAGGAGTGAGTTATGCCTTGTTACAGGTGTGTTGCGGGAGAATTCAGATTTTGGCTTCACTATGTACCTGCCGAAGCTATGGAGCAATTAAAAAGATTCTTTAAGGTAAACAATGCCTCAAAGTTCTTTGAAAAGCTTCTTCTTTTGGAACCATGACTGCTTCCTTGTGAGCAGGGAACTCTCCAACGTCTGGCACGAAACGGAAGAGGCAGATATTTACAGTGGTTGCCCTGGAAAGCATCTAATTTGGGGATCACGGACTTGGCCCCCATCTCAAGATGAACTGCAGCTGACAGAATTTCCCTCCGTTGGCCAGGCCCATTAGGGCTTGGTTGCTCTTTTCCGGACATGCTCTAGATGTGAACTTCTTCACTGCGAATACCTCCATGCTGATAATCAGTAATCTTTCAAAATGCAGCATCCAGAAGTGGGTGGAACGTCCAAGAGCTGTTACCCTCAAGTGCAAGGCCAGAGAAAGCTGGCCTGGTCCCAATTCATTCTAGGAAGCCCTCTTCATGTCCCCCTGGCCTCCTCTGAAGGCAGATGAAGCGTGATTTAAGACTATGCAAGTGCTCACCTTTTTCTCCTGAGGTGCTGCTGCAGTCTCTTTCGTTGAAGCTTCTGTCATGACTAATTTTTCCACAGCTGCAGTGACACCAGGAACATCACTGTCACACATCAAGTTGCCTTCACGATTCTAGAAGGAAAACCAGTTATGTGACTCTTAGAACCGTATAATTCCTGGATTAGGAATGTAGTCTTGCAATGTGCAAATTATCAGAAAAGTTATCAATAACTTTCTCTTGCTATCATGCTGAAATCTTTATATTTTACAGAATACTTTCTATGCTATGGACCCCTCTCCTGTCATGTAGTTTGAATAAACCAACATGGCTTTCCAACTTCTGTGTTTGTCTTTCCTCCTGCAGTGATTAGCTGCTTGTTTGGTGGCATCTTTTGTCCTCCTGCAGTCTTCCATTCTCCTAGACATCTCAGAGATGATAAATGGAAATGTGGTGACACCATCGGTGATGTTCACTAAGGCCCCTAGAAATTTGAACACACTGGTATTTCCTGAATATGATTCTATCAAACTCGGTCTTCATCTTTCAATTAGTTCTTCATAGATGAGGGAACTGAAGGGGAACTCATCAAATTTGCAGATGACACCAAACTGGCAGGAGTAGCCAACACCCAAGAAGACAAACTCAAGATCCAAAAGATCTTGACCAACTTGAACAATGGGCCCTATCCAACAAAATGAATTTCAATGTGGAGAAGGGCAAAGTCTTACATTTAGGCAGGAAAAACCAAAGGCACAAATACAGATTGGGCGACACCTGGCTCAAAAACAGTCACTGTGAGAGGGACCTTGGAGTCCTAGTGGATGATCACTTGACTATAAGCCAGCCGTGTGCAGCAGCAGCCAAAAAAGCTAATACAATCCTGGGTTGTATAAACAGTGGCATAGAATCAAGATATCGTGAAGTATTAGTATCGCTTTATAAAACCCTAGTGAGGCCATACCTGGAATACTGCAGCCAATTTTCATCACCATATCACAAAAAAGGATGTTGAGAGTTTGGAAAAAAATTCAAAGAAGAGCAACTAAGATGATCCAAGACCTGGAGACTAAAACATATGAAGAACGGCTGCGGGACTTGGGTTTGGCTAGTCTAAAGAAAAGAAATAGGGGAGACATGATAGCAGCGTTCCAGTATCTGAGGGGCTGCCACAAGGAAGAGGGGGTCACGTTGTTCACCAGAGCACCAGAAGGAAGGACGGGAAACAATGGTTGGAAACTGATCAAAGAGAGAAGCAACCTGGAATTATGGAGAAACTTCCTGACAGTGAGGACAATCAACCAGTGGATCAGCTTTGCCTCCAGAAATCGTGGGCGCTCCATCACTGGAGATTTTTAGGAAGAGGCTAAACAATCACCTGTCTAAGATGGTATAGGTTCTTCTGCTTGAGCGGGGGGCTGGACTAGAAGATCTCCAATATCCCTTCCAGCTCTATTCTGTTCTATTCTATTCTATTCTATTCTATTCTATTCTATTCTATTCTATTCTATTCTATTCTATTCTAATTCTAATTCTAATGACTCTTTTTGGTTTGTTCTTAAGTTCAGCTTTCCTGATATCAAATCTAGTCTGCTCTTCCTTAGTGATCTTTCAGCTTTTTGAATTTCAGTAACTTTTGCGTACCTACAACAGTATGTCGTATCATATGCTAAATAAATAACCTACAACAGTTGATCCTGCTGTCTTCCCTTTTTTCTTTCCAGAAATGACTCACAATTGTCCTTTTCACATATCCTTTTTTATGAACTCCCTTTTGTCTTCAGTAATTTTACTCATTTGCTTCTTTTATGAAGGAATCCAACTTACCATCACTTTATGTTAATTCAAATTTGGATTCTTAAGGTTTCGGATTTATTCCCTTCTCTTATCAAATAAATCCAGCATTACACAGCATTTTCAGCATTGCTGCTTCTTCCACTTTCTGGATTAACATTTCTGTTTCGTTTAGCCCAGGGGTAGGCAACCCAAAACACTCAAAGAGCCACTTGGACCCATTTCTCACCGAAAACAAAACACTGGGAGCCACAAAACCCTTTGGATATCTAAAAGGAAGATAACACTGCATATATCCTTTTTTACCTTTATTATATATATAAATATATAAATATATATATCATAAAGGTAAAAAAGGATATATGCAGTGTTATCTTCATTTTAGATGTCAAAAGGGTCTCTCTCTCTGTCTCTCTCTCCCTCCCTCTCTCTTTCTGCCCTTGGTCTGCCAGTCCTCTCCCCCCCCTCTCTCTTTCTCCCCCCCCCCTTCTCTCCCTCTCTCCAATCTTCTGCTCACCTGGCAAGCTGGCTTCAAGCTGTTCTCCAACAAGCTCGGGTAGGTAGCCTCAGCTCTTTTATCACTCATGGACTTCAACTCCCAGAATTCCTGAGTCTGGGCTAGCTAGCTCTCTCCTGCCTTTCCTGCTTCCAGCAGAGACGCAGCAAAGGGAGGAGCCCCGCCCAAAAAGCTTTTCAGCTTGTTGGAGAACAACGTGAGTCCACTCTCTTTTTTACACACACGGAGAGAGAGAGAGAGAGAGAGACAGACAGAGAGAGAAGCAGGGAAGCGCAAGTGCCTCTCTCTGTCTCTGTCTCTCTCTGCAAATGGCAGAGGAGGCTGGGAGCCACAGGGGAAGGCTCAAAGAGCCGCATGCGGCTCCAGAGCCGCAGGTTGCCAACCTGTGGTTTAGCAGGTCCTCTACCCGCTGAAGGCGAAAGTTGCCAGAGAGGAAAGTCGGGAATTTCTTGGCAGGCCCACTCCTGGCCGTTGTTTCCCAATATGTTAACTGTAATTAAAGTCCCCCATGTGCCTATTTCAAAGATCTGCAAATGCCTTCTGGAATGCTTCGTTCACAGCAGCTTAGGTGGCTGGGTGATAATACACACTACCAATGATGATGCTTTTATTCATCTTTATCACCTATACATTCCTTCCTTCTAATAGTTAAAATCATATGGGGTCATTTCTGATTTTTATTTTTAGACTCATCATATTGTGGGGCAGATTGGAGTAACCCAGTACATGTCACGACCAAGCAAAGAACTAAAGGTGGGTTTATCTCAAATCATCCCAATCCTTGTAAAATAAGCCACACTGTGTAAACTGGGAACAAACAGGCTATTCTAAAAACAAACAAACAAAAACTAGACCACATTAGCCCATCCATTAAAACAGAGGCCTGTACAAGAAAAGTGTTCCAAGCCAATGACTGCCATTCTACAAGCCAGTACATCACACTGATTTCCATCCCTCTCCACTCATTATCTCCAAAGTTTAAGGCTTCTCCACCTTCAGTTCCTGCAGGGCTGCTTCAATGAAACACGCTTCAGGGGTATGCTTTTCCTCCTGGTACTGATGCAGAAGGGCCATCTTTTCTTCCAGGATCACTTGCTGGAGGACCTGACCCTCCGAGGCCAGAAGCAGCTTTGAATACTGGCTGTGTGGCTTATCTGGAGGAAGAAACAGTGCAACAAACGTTACCATCACATTTGGATGTATTGCACACCGACCACCCACAATGCCCTTCAGATTCTTAAAGCAGCTTCTTTAAGAGTTCCATTAAAGCTTTTGTCTTCAATGACAAAATAATTAAGATCTATAATGGGGAAGAAAATCTGCATGATTAGAAATAACTTCTAGTTGCTTCAGGCTGTCTCATCAGAGTCTGTGTGGTGCCTTTAGAGAGCAGAGGTTGATTTTTCAGTAATGTACAGAGTGAACCGCTGCAGAGCATCGGTTCTTAAGGGAATTAAGAGCTGTCCCTTTCAATAAGGTTCACATGAGATAACTCTGAAAGCCACTGGGCTTCACTCTGCACACGGCTCACGGTTTGCAGAAATCAAAGCAATCCCAATTCACAAGACCACGGAACCCTCAACACTTACCCCCCAGGCGAACAGGCTGCTCCACGTGAGCGAGCGCTGACTTTGGCAGTGCTATCAAGGACCCTTTCTTCCGCTGCATGAGCTGCATTGTAATTGTGTCACCAATTGCATACTGACGGGTTTCTAGTGCCACAACACTGCAAAAAAAGAGAGAGAGAAGCGGTCCATGACAACTGACTTGGTGCAGGAGGAAAAGATCGCCTCACTCAGGGAACCTGTCAGAACCCATTCCTATTTCATTTCTACCTATCCCCTCTGACCTAAAGACAAATCTCACCTTTCCCTGGGTTCTGCCATAATCCCAAAGGGGAGGGAGGGATGTGCTTGCAGGGTTATTGCTTTTCTTTCCTCTATTTGCCACAATGTAACCTTTTGCTTGCTTCTGTGTCTGCTGCCCCGCTACAATGTAACAATTTGCTTCCTGCATTGTATCTCTCTCTGAACTTTCTTCTCCCTAACCTGTCAGCTAGGAAAAAGGGGGGGGAGAAAGAAATACAACCTCCGGAGCCTGGCTTATCTCTCCGTTTCTCAAAAGAAGGTGCGAAGAGCCGCTTGAACATCATGCTGCAACCAGAGCCGGACAGATGTTATCTCCCCTTTCCCACGATGGACTTAACACCTGGGGATCAGCCGGTTTTGAACCGGCCAGATGAACTGTGGGGTGGGGTTTGCTTGGGGACACTTTAAAGTACCGATCTGTAAGGGAATTCCTCAGATCCTGTCTATTATGCCTGCTATCAACTACTCTTAATAAAGGTTCCTGTTGGAGGAAACCATCTCCAAGAGTTCTGCTTTCTTAAGATGTGGGATTGAAGTGGGTCCTTACAGAACCTCTGTACCTTTTGAGGTCCTTCTTGTGAATGGAGCCGTAACAGATGGGGCACTTGCTCCAGGTCTTCTCACTCAGGGAGAGATAGTGCAGGATACAGGCCCAGCAGAAGATGTGCCCGCAGCGAGTGATCTTGGCAGCAGTGGGTGGGTATAAGCATATTGGGCAGGAGGGCACTTCATGGCTGTAAATCCGCTAGAAATGTCCAACAGAATCCCATTGATAAAATTAAACTCTCAAAAGGTATTCTTCTTTAAAGAGCGGAATATATTAAACACAGTGTGGGGAGCTGACTATTCAAAACCCCAGCCACCAAAACAATAAAGCAGGTGGCCATCTGATTTATAGTTATTTTTTAAAAAACATGCTTCTCTCAAGAGCATTGAGGATTGTCATTCCAGCACCTGCCCAATTCAGGAGTTTCTATGGAGGACATAAGAACGACATCCCTGAGAAGTGACTGTCCAGATTTTATAGGATGTTTTCTAGAGAAAAGCAGCCCCACAATCTGAGACTTTCGCTTCCACGATCAACTCGCTTGTACCATACTGAAAAAATTAAATTTGCTCCCCTGCAATTTCCATTCTAGTTCTACATGGCATAAAGCAGACAGCAGGGTTTTACTAAACCCGATTCCACTGTAGAATATGTTAACAACATGTTGATACCATTTCTTGACTCTGGTCACAGAGTTTGCTGCCCGATGATTTTAGGCCAATAAAATTTAAGCAAGTGATTGGTTAGTTCAGAAATAAGAAATGACCAATTTACATGGGGCAGAAACATAGAATCATAGAGTTGGGACCTTGGATGTCTTCTAGTTCAACACCCTGCCCACCCTCTGGCTGGAATCCTTATCCTAGTTGCCCAATCTTTTCTTGAAAACCTCTAGCAATGGAACACCCACAACTCCAGAAGGCAAGCTGCTCCACTGTTTAATTCTTCTCACTATTAGGAAGTTTCTCCTTAGTTCCATGTTGGATCTCTCTAATGAGTTTCCACCCAATGCTTCTTGTCCTGCCCCCCTCATCTCTGGGACAGCCCTTCAAGTATTAGAAGATTGATATCATGTTACTCCTAATCCTTCTTTTCCTTAGACTAGACATACCTAATTCCCTTAACTATTCATCATATGGTTTAGCTTCCAGTCCCCTAATCATCTTTGTTGCTCTTCTCTGCACTCTTTCTAGGGTCTCAGCATCTTTTTTGTATCGTGTTGACTAGAACTGGACATAGTATTCCAAGCGTGGCCTCACTAGTGCAGTATAGAGTGGTACTACCATTTCTCGTGAGCTTGACACTATCCCACTGTTGATGTAGTCTAGGACTGCACTGCCTTTTTTGGCAGCTGCAGCACATTGCTGGCTCATACTTACGTGGTGGTTCACTAGGACACCCAGATCTCTCTCACAGTTACTACTGTTGAGCCAGGGAATGCCTATTCTATACATGTGCATTTGGTTTTTTCTTGCCTAAGTGCGGGACTTTAACTTTTCTTGTCACTGAACTGCATCTTGTTGGATGGGGCCCAGTGCTGAAGTCTGTCAAGATCCTTTTGAATCTTGAGTCTATCTTCCAAAGTGTTGGCAATTCCCCTCAGTTTGATGTTGTCTGCAAATTTGAGTGATAAGGGCCTCCAGCAGTGAAATAATATTTTAGCCCTATCGTTGTGTGAATAGTTCAATTACTCCCTGTTTAACTTCAATCACACCTTTTTTTTAAACTCAGCATAAATAAGTGTGGATTGAGAGTCTGCACCCAGCCAAACTGATAGCAATTTGTTCTTCCAAGAGAAGCTGAACAGATCAGCCAGGGTCAGCTGGGCTTTGTCCTCAGATGCCATTTCAATCAATATTTAGTTGACAGAACTTATCTGGTGGGCACAACCAAGTTAAGCCACCAGATGGGCTAGGAAACACTACAGGCCTCAGAAATAGTGACTGAATTGATTCTACTGCAGAGGTGTCCTAATATGCACAGAAGGCTTACCATTGGCTTTAAGCTGCTTAATTGCTATCAGGACAGAATTACTACCATCACAGCTGGAATTATAGCTGTATTGGACTTCTGTGCTCCAACTGAGATGTCCTAACTCAGTGGTGGCGAACCTATGGCACGCGTGCCGGAGGTGGCACTCAGAGCCCTCTCTGTGGGCACGCACGCGATCACCCCATCTCCACCTCCCCCCATGGCCCCCTCCTCACCAGAAGCCCCCCTGGAGGAGAGTCGCCCCTGAGCGCGGTCTGCGCGGAGCAGTGCAGCCAAAGACATGGCAGCCGGGCTGCGGGGACAAGACTCTGCCCTCGCGCCCCGTCGCACGCAGATGCTGCGGGGCATGGGCAGAGGGCATGGCTGCCATGGCGCTGCTGGGCCGCCTGGGCGATCTACTGTGGTGGGCTGTGGAGGTGGTGGGTGGCCTTGTGGGGGAGTGGGGGCAGAGCAGGGGCGGAGTGGGCAGGGTGCAGAGTGGGGCGGGCGGGGAGGCAAGGGCGGTTTTTGGGCACTAAGTCTCTAAAAGGTTCGCCATCACTGTCCTAACTTTTCTGTTTGCAAGTGGTGGAAAACTAGAATTAAATGCCTAGATATTTAAAAAAAACCTGACCTGCTTAATTTGGTTACCCCTGATTGTCCACTTATAGAAGCTGTGTATTGTGATGCTTTGTGAATACTGTCACCCAGAGTTTGGAATGGCTGATTTCAAGCTTGTTGTCTTGACGGTATGACATTAATGCATGTAGGATTTGTCAGTGGTGTTCTCTTGGACATGGGTGACTGCATTATCAGCATACAGAAAGATGAAAGTTGGTTCGTGAGCCCAGGGGAGAAATCATGTTTGGCAGGAGCCTGTATCAACAACATAAGCGTTTAACTAACGAAGGGGTCGGAATGCAATTTTACTCCTTTAAGGCCGGAAATAAAGTTTGTCAGTTTGACATTGGGCAAGCCTTTGGGATATATGTTTATGTATACACACTCACACACATATATAGGGTGTTTTCATATGGCATCTTTATCAGCTAGAAAAATGAGGGGGCTAATTTCCTCTCTAGCTTCTTTTTGGGAACTGTAGTTGTCAACGCTGCAAATACTGTATATTCTTGCTTTGACAATATGCAGAACTGTCTGGTATTTTTAGGGTTAATGCAGAGCAGAAGAGGGTGGGGGAAAAAGCCCGGGAAAGAAAGAGGCTCACACTAATTGGATAAAGTGATATATGACAGCTAATTTAGGGAGGGAACATGCTGATAATTTAACTGCTCAGAGGAAGAGAATTTCAGACCTTAGCATCAACTCGTTATGCCTGTGCCGATATTTTGTAACAATAAATTACTTTTAGGAAAATCAATGCCTGGAAGTTCTTTGAAGTGTTTCATTAGCTGGAACCTTAACAGTAGTTTTGAATTCACAAGTTACCTAATGAGCTGTGTGGAGGACTTCCTTTCTCTTGCTGAATCTCTCCCACCATCCCGATTCCCAAGCTGACCACAGTATTTATTGTTTGAGAGAGAGAGAGAGGACGAAGGATACTAACCACTTGTTGCACAAAATCCCAGTTGACCAAGGTATCTGGGTCAGTGAAGTGAACCGTGTAGTCCTGATCATCGCGCACCACAAACTGGCAGCTGCAAAGAATATGAGGGATTTAAAACTAAAAACTCGTAATAACAACCACCTGAAACTGATTATATAGAAATGATCCAGGCAGACAGATATTCAGATTAAGTAACTGCTGAATTATCTGCAACAATCTTAAAACAAAATTACTTTATCTTTTCCATTAGTCTAACTGTAATCCAAGGACATATAGCGCTCTCAGAAATCAAATATATCAAGGAGAGAAAAATCAGAAAGTATCTGCTCTTTAACCTTCCAAGGAATGCTCTCAATTCACAAAATAATGCATGTTAGATCTTGGCATTAACAATTTCATAAAGCTACGTTGTATAAAACTGATCTTTTATATTCATATCACTGATACTTTTCTTTTCCTTTGTTTTGAATAAATTCAAATGCAAGCAGCAATCTTAATGCATTTCAAATACAACAGGGCAACGAGAGTCAGGTTATCAAATGTAAAATATAAATCCAAAGAAAATGTCTACATGGAAAATAAAAACTATAAAGCAGCAGCTGAAAGCAACAGATGGGGAACAGGACGGAGTAAATTCTCCCTCAGACATTGGTGATCCAGACCGAGCTCACACTTACTTGGCCTGAAGGAAAAGCTCCTTGCTGAAAGGTTTGTTTTCCCATCTGTTTCTTTTTCCCCAACTGCCATGGCTGCTCCCATCAAAATGGCTGGTGTGGCCACGAGGTTCAAATGTAAAGTTCAACAAATGGTTCAGGTTAATCTTCTTGGGGCCAGAGAATTGGGCAGGGCTAAGCTCTGCCCGCTGAGTTTCTGCTACCTGAGAAAACAGATAAATTAGTCTGCAAGAGTTGCAATAAAAAAAAAAGTATGCCATATAAAGACCATTATTTTTTCCAGGAAGATGAACATTAGGCCAGAACTTTGGAACAATCTCTTGGGAGGACGGGAAAAGCAAACGACTTTATTTTTGCCAAAAATATCACATGGCTGTCCCATCTAGGAACAGATATAATAATAATAATAATAATAATAATAATAATAATAATAATAATAATAATAATAATAATAATAATAGTGGTGGTGGTGGTGGTGGTAGTAGTAGTAGTAGTAGTAGTAGTAGTAGTAGTAGTAGTAGTAGTAGTAAAGTTGGAAGGGACCTTGGAGGTCATCGAGTCCAACCCCCTGCTCAGGCAGGAAACCCTATATCATTTCAGACAAATGGCTGTCCAGTCTCTTCTGAAAAACTTCCAGTGTTGGAGGATTCACCACTTCTGGAGGCAGGTTGTTCCACTGGTTAATTGTTCTAACTGTCAGGAAGTTTCTCCTTAGTTCTAGGTTGCTTCTCTCCTTGATTAGTTTCCATCCGTTGCTTCTTGTCCTGCCTTCAGGCACTTTGGGGAATAGCTTGACTCCCTCTTCTTTGGGGCAGCCCTTGAGATATTAGAACGCTACTATCATGTCCCCCCTCATCCTTCTCTTCATTAAACTAGACATACCCAGTTCCAGCAACCATTCCTTATATGTTTTAGCCTCTAGTCTCCTAATCATCTTTGTTGCTCTTCTCTGCACTCTTTCTAGAGTCTCAACATCTGTTTTACATCGTGGTGACCAAAACTGGATGCAGTATTCCAAGTGTGGCCTTACCAAGGCCTTGTAAAGTGGTATTAATTAACAGAGCTCAAACCAAAGGAAGCTTTATTCTCCTTATAAGCCAAGAACTTTTTTTTCTCAGCTCTTTACACCAGGCAGCATATGATGCACATGCAAAACAACACTGGACTTTCCTCTTGACATTTTTTTCTATAATATCATCAAAAATCTTTTAAAATATATTTTGCTTTCAAGGATCACGATCTGGAAAACTGCTTATACATCCCTCAAAGTACAGGTTAAGAAGGATTTGTTATTCACTGTAATATTTTAAAATGTGCAAATAGAAGCAACGTCAACAGTCAACCCTCCAGTTTTAATTGGTTCTTTCAAGAATTAAACATTTGAGGCAGCACTTCAATGAGATGCATGTTTTGATAATGAGCCTCCGTCATCCTTGAATATCAGCTAGCCTAGACATAAAGCAAAGCCTTAAACATCGACAGTTTATCTACTTGGGAAATGCTGAACATTTATCTTTCTTGCGCCTCCTGCCACAGGCTGGACAGGGACAGCCGAAGGACCAGATGTGACCCACAAATGCCCAGACCTGCCATGTTTATAGAACTAAGAAAAAAATGTACATGCTAATGCCAACATTCCTTTCTGTACACATTTAGAAGCAAAGAATCCATTTATTTTTCCATGATAGAGCATTATTGTTTGATTTTTTTCCCCCACAAGCATGAAAGTAAGAACATTCAGTTCAATTATTTTTAACCTGTATTTCACATTTTTAATGAGAGAAGAAAGATAGAAGTTGTGTCAGAAAAGAGAGAGAAGACAGAATATTGGCTTAACGAAGGCGCGTCAATGTCCCGGTAAGGGCGAATCTCACCTCATCTCGTCTTCCACCATTAGAAGAAAGGCTAAAAGATTTGCCACCGCTGTTCTGTTCCCCCCTCTGAGGGGGCATCTTGTTAAAAGTTTTGCTTTTCTGTGGAAAGGAGCGACGGGACTGGCTGGGGAAAGTCTCATTTTTGGGATATGAAGTTTCTCTCTTACGATTATAACGCTGTCTGGATCCACTTGCATTTTTCCCTTCTAAAAGAAACAAGAAAGGAATCATGTTCAGCGTTAAGTCAAAAGCAATTCCTAGCAGAGCACTTCTATCGTACCAAAGTGACAGCCAGACCGGTAACACAAGCAAAAACTTATCTAGAGAAGCCTACCCCATGGAATTTCAAACATCTTTATTTAAAGATCTTGCTAACTGAAGATATTTTGATCTTAAAACTGTATTTTTTCTGACCCTTGTGCTGGCATAAACAAATATTGAACTAATAGAAATGTTTCTATATTTACTTATAACAGGAAAGGATTACTCTTATTACTACTGATCCTCAGAATCACTTATGAAGAAAGCCGTGTTAGTCTATGGTGGCCCAAAATCAGAAGGACTAGTAGCCCCTTTCCAGACTAACAAAATTTTATTAACATTGGGTACATGATTACTTGCTCAGCTGCCTAATTTCATTATTCTATTGCTTTGAATCACCCCAAGGGAATTAGACAAATAAACACAAATGCTTTACCTATAATCATTTTTTTTTCAAATACTTCTGACAAGGAAAACATTGGTCTTTTTACATTTGAGTTTGTACACGCAAGCTCTTTCCTCCAGCAATATTTAGTTTAGCACACATCCAAACTGTTTTCAATAAAATATTCTGTATGCAATCCAAAGTTAACAGTGATTACTATTCAATTCAGGCAATACATTTCCATTATCGTACGTTCTGTTATAATTAGAACAGTAAATCAAGAAAAAGCTGCTACTAGGATAGGAAACTTGGGAGTACAGGTAGTCCTCAACTTACGAACACAATTGAGCCCAAAATTTCTGTTGCTAAGTGAAACAGTTACGTGAATTTTGCCCCATTTTACGAACTTTCTTGCCACAGTTGCTAAGTGAATCACTGCAGTTATTAATGACCATGTTACTAACTTAAGTCAATCTGACCCTGGAACAACTGCGACCGTCGTAAATATGTGAACTAATTGCCAAGCATCCAAATTTTGATCACATGATCATGGGGATGCTGCAATGGTCGTAAGTATAGAAAACGGTCATAAGTCACTTTTTTTCAGTCATGCTGTAACTTTCAACAGTCACTAAATGAACTGTGAATGTCGAGGACAACCTGTATTAGCAACCTTAAATTTCATAAGATGTAAAATTTAAAACGTTGTTATATAAATTCCCTCAGATTTCCTACATGTGTGAAAAGATTATATATACAAATGACAGATACTACCACAAAAGGAGAGGAGGTATTTGTAGTTTCCTACTTATAAACTTTAAGAACATTCAAGGAACTTCTCCCTTTAAAAGAGCTAATTATTGACTGGAAATTATCTGAACGTAGGAAGTACTGTACTATGCTGAATTTTTGCAACTTGGCTCTTGTATAGAAAGGCCTTTTTTCTAAAACATTTGTCATATATATATATATTTAATAACTCTACTTGAAAATAAATCATTTGATAACTGCTAGGCCCGTGGTGGCGAACCTGCGGCACGCAGAGCCCTCTCTGTGGGCACGGGCACCATCGCCCCAGTCCTAGGCCTTCAGCTGGGTTTTATAAAACCTTTTCACTTTAGGCCTCCGCCGCCATGTGCAAAAAAAAAAAAAGGTTCAATCAATCAATCAATTTCAACTTTTCACAGGGAAAAAAAAAGACCTCGCAAAGTTGGAATTGATTGAACTTTTTAGTCCTACCCAGTCTGCCATTACCACCGCAGCCATGCCCACCCAATGAGCCACGCCCACCCAGCACCCAACAATACATAAGTGGGTTTGGGTTGCAGTTTGGGCACTCGGTCTCTAAAAGGTTCACCATCACTGTGCTAGGCAATTCTGTTGCTGCAGGACTGCTACCCCAGGCTTTGCAGAATGTGATGGTAGTATCAGCACCCTCAGCTATTTGCACTATGGCCTGTTCAGATTAGAACATAATCAATGTCTGCACACACAGCTGTCGTAAGCTAAAAGCAGAACTTTCTAAACATGAACCTTTTATCTACAGCGAGCCTCCAGTTGCTACACTGAAAAATTGGCCAATATGAATATCACCTTCTGTAGCGATGGAAAGCTTGTGGACTCTACAGAACTGTTCTGCATTGTTGTGACCTGCAATGTCATCAAAAACTCATCTAAGAGCTGTTAGTAAAGATGTTCTATAGGTCGGTCTGGTGCAGTGGGTAAAGCAACAAGCAAGAAACCAGGAGACTGGGAGTCAACGGTGACTTACAGGCACTTTTTTTTTAAAGCTATACATAATTAGTATATTCTTTCATATCTTCTTGGTGGTGGCCTCTTCCTTTTGGAGTGATCTTCTCTCCAGATACAATTGACCCCAATCCTGCAGGCTTTTAGATGTTTTCCAAGGCATTTGGGTCATGATGAATAAAATCCCATTTGGATGAACCGCAGGCTATTTAGTCCTGATAACTGCCCAGTTAGTTGTTAGTTGGCAGAGATACCCAACACCGCAGAAGATAGGATGAAGATCCAGGTGGATCTCTAAAGAGTTGAACACTGGCCCCTATCTAATAAAATGAAATTTAATGGAGAGAAAAGTAAGGTTTTGCACTTAAGTAAGAAAAATCTAATGTTGATTAGATACAGATTAGGTGAAGCCTGGCTCAATAGCAGTAACTATGAAAGGGATCTTGGAATCCAAGTGGACAATCACTTAAAAATGAGCCAGCAGTCTGCAGCAGCGGCCAAAAAAAGCCAACACAGTCCTAGGCTGAATTGATTAGAGGGATAGAATCAAGATTACATGAACTATTAGTACCCCTTTATAAAGCCTTAGTAAGACCACACTTAGAATATGGCATCCAGTTTTGGCCAACATATTATCAAAAAAGATGTAGAGACTTTGGAAAGAGTGCAGAAAAAAGCAACAATGATGATTAGGGAGCTGAAGAACGGTTGCAAGAACTGGGTTTGTCTAGTTTAGTGAAAAGAAAGAGTAGGGATTACATGATAGCAGTGTTTCAGTATTTGAGGGGCTGCCCCAAAGAAGAGAGGGTCAACCTATTCTCCAAAGCACCAGAAGGCAAGACAAGAATCAATGGATGGAAACTAATCAAGGAGAGAAGCAACCTGGAATTAAGGAGAAATTTCCTAACAGGGAAGACAATTAACCAGTGGAACAGCTTGCCTCCAGAAGTTGTGGGTGCTCCATCACTGGAGGCTTTCTCACATCAGGCAGTTGAGTCAGATGTTCAAATCAATGAGATGACACTCAGGTATGAGTTTAAGTGGCATTCTTCATTAAAAAAACAAACCACTTGAGTCGGCCTTCATGAATCTTCTCTGTGGAAGATTCTCTTTTGACACTCTTGTCAAAAGAACTTTCTGAATAACTCAGAAAAAAAGACTTCAAGAGGCAGAAGAACTTGCATAATCATTGTCAAAGACTTTGACCTCCACCATCAAGCAGACAGGATACAAATGAAGAAAATGCAACATTATTATTTGTCCAATAATAAATCACCAAACACAAAGCATATTAACACTCCAGGAGGTTTCAAAGAATAATGGCAAAGAAACTGCAGGTACTTTTGTGCTGCCTGATGTTACTAGTCTGTATGAATCTGCCATAAGGAAAATACTGAATCAGAGCAACATGTACGGGAGAATACTAAGGAAATATCACAGTCTGAAAAATACACACTGCTGCCCATCAAAACTGATGAGGCTTCTTGGATGAGAAACGAAATGTTTTCAAAGAAAAAAAAAACAAGAAAGTTCAATTGCCTTTTGGAAAAAGCACCTTTGGACTACCCATCTCAAGTTTGCCAAAGACCACCTGGATGATGCAGAAAGCAACTGGAACAATATTCAAAGGACAAATGAGATAAAAGTGGTTCTTTCAGATAATAATGAGAAACCTTGGGCTTGGTAAACACAAAACACTGTTCCACATTTCAGATGTGAAGCATATTTGGATCTGGACAGCTCAATCATTGATAGAACAATGGATTCTCTACTGCACCAGCAAATTCTACAGGTGAACGCCAGGTAAACATGGGACATGCTGTCCAATGATCAACAGGTACATACAGGAAAACATTTGGTTGAAGTCCCTGGTGCTGAAAGAGGCACCACTGTTACCACATCTAAAACTTCACATACTTTTTCCAGTGAGATTACCGAACTGTTGGCTCAGTGCATTACTAAAGCCATGACACACCCAACTTCTCCGTGTTGTTGTTTTTTAGCCAGAATCTCTATCTATTAAAACAACATAGATGACATTCAGATTACACTGTAGGTCACAATACTGGACATTTCTCAAGGGCTCACAAACTTTCACCACGGAATCCAGGGCAAAATATTCAGACAAGTTTTAAAAAACCACATTTCTGCCCATGAAGCAAACAGGAGTTTAAAAATGGACTCCATGTTAACTAAGGGGTACTCCTGAATTTAGTTCAATTGATGACTTCATGAACATGCTAGCTTCCACTGCTTCCTTCCAGAATGTTTATTCAATCTCCTCCTCTAGGGCCCTACACTGACATTTTCTATGGTCTCCAAAAATTAACCAGGACCAACCTGGCTTAGTGTCAATGGAGATTCTCAGTTATCCAGATCATAGTTAGCACCTTTGGGACAACCTGACTTAGCTTTTTAAAATAACAAAAGTGAGGATGATGCTGTCTAGATTCTGTCTAAATATAGCATCCGTGCTATTTATAGCAGGGATTATCAAAATCTGTTAATATGGGAACAAAATATTCCAGAATAGTTTAATTCCCTCCAGAATATGCCAAACCTCCCCTTAGTCCATGTCATTCCTGGAAGTAAATAGACATGATATTCCAGATGAGACCTCTGGTTTGAAGCTTAGCTACCCATGAATCATCTCAAATTACTTCCACTGAAACACCAAATTGCTTGTAGATTGGCATGGTCTGATAATCAAGCAGAGACATTAATTTTATAGTGCCTGCTCCACAGTAAGGCCAGTCTCTGGTATGTCAGTTAAACACTGATGTGCCTAGGTTTTAGAAACACAGTGAAAATTTGAGAGAGGATTATAGGGGCTAGCATTATTTTCCAATTGTGGAATGTATCTAGCATTGCTATCTCAGCAGTGGCAGCAATTAATAGATCTTGGCTGATCTTGGAAAGAAAAAGAAGAGTTTGTTTGAATAGTCTTCAGACATCTGAAGATCCCCTGGGCACTACAGGACAGTGGGCTAGCCGCTAGACAAGGAAAGACATCTTAGATAATGACAAACTACTTCCATACCACTCCCAAGAAAAAGGTATATGGAGGCAGTCACCAGCTCAACTCATGGGTGTCTCTTGTTTTTCTAGCTCTGCAAAATGATGATGCCTCCAGGGCCAAGGAGTGTTTCTTCTAAGCAAGGCAATTGGCAGTTTGTCACAGAACAACTGCATCAAGAATAATGGAAACAAGGATGCCTCACCGATCATGAACACTGCCAACAAAAGATATCAGAGTGAAGACGTACAGATGCCATCTGTCTAGTTTCACATTTAAAGGCTGCGAATGTTTAAATATCGGGATTTTTCATTGCAATGCTCAAGTATTCCAAATAAAGAAAATCAAATACAATAAAGCTTGGAAACCCAACCAGCAGAGTCCCCTCTTTATCGGACAAACAAATGGCAAATTCCATGGGTGCATTCGCTTAAGCTTTTAAAGATGCTCTATGTTGTCTCCACTTTATGTTTGCTGACAGCTGATTACAAACGTCTTTCCCAAGTAGGCTTTCCCCAAGGCCCCTATGGAAAGAAGTTCCTACCCTCCCAAATGACATCTATAAAACCCTGCTGAAATTTAGATTCATAAAAAGAACTTGTGGTGTCATTTTTGCATAATAATAATAATGATGATGATAAAGTTGGAAGAGACCTCGGAGGTCATCTAGTCCAACCTCCTGCTCAGGCAGGAAACCCTATACCATTTCGGACAAATGGCTGTCCAGTTTCTTCTTAAAAACTTCCAGTGTTGGCACATTCTTGCTCCACTCTTGACCAAGAACAAAGCCAAGATCCAACCCAGGGCGGGCCTGAAAGTGTTTCACCCTCCCTTTAAAGAACAAAGGTCAGCCCCACTGACTTAAGGCAGGAAGTTGTGTATGTCGGTGTGCAAGATTTATACAACCATGTTCGTTCATGCACTGGCTGGGGTGGGCTCAGCAGGTTGCAACCACCCAGGAAGCTGCTGCTCCCGCTGCCTCTAGTTCGCTCTCAGCTACTTTCTCAACCTCAGCGGCGGACTCCAAGGCCCAGCATCCCCCACCCAGCCGAGGCGCAGGGGCCCCTCGACGCCTCCCCCTCCCCGGCGCAGCCTTACCCCCTTTGGGCTTGGACTCCCCCCCAGCCGGGCCGGCGGAGTTAGAGCGGGGCTGCTGCCCTTTGCCCCCCGTCGCGGAGGAAGAGCCGGGCCCGAGGCCGGAGCCGCAGGGGCTGTTCTTGTCCATGGCGCGGGCGGGCGGGAGAGGCGGAGGCGGCGGCGGCGCTACGGAGCGGGCGGGCGGGCGAGGGCGGCTGGCGGCTGGGGCCGAGGCCCAGGCTCATGGCCCGGCGGCGGGGTCGGTGCAGCGCAGTCGTCTCGGCCACCCTCATGGCGACATGTTCCTCACGGCTTCGCCCGGGCGAGGGAAGAAACGGGCCGGTGCGCGGCCACCACAGGCCTCCGGTGCCGAGTCGGAGAGGCCGCCTGGCGCGGCCGGGCCTGCGCCCCGCGGACGGAGGAGCGGCCGAGTCGGAGAGCGCGGGAGCCCGCGAGGCCTCCGCAGCCAGGCCCGGCCCGCGCCGGCGCTTCGAGAGTGGCGAGGAAGGGAGTTCGCGGCCAAGGGGAGCCGCCCGGTCCGCCTCAGCGCCGCCGCCGCCGCCGCCGCTGCCTGTAATGGCGACGCGTCGCCCACCGCCGTGACGGGAAGGCCCGGATGGAGCCTCTCTCGAGGGGCGGGGCGGGGCGCGCCTCGCCGCAAAGCATGCTGGCCGCGGTGGTTCCTCCCTCAGCAGCTGGACGGGCCGCGCGCGGGCCTCCTGTCGAGAGAAAACTACGCCTCCCGACAGGCACCGGGTGAGGCTCGCCCAGCGGCGTCGTAGGCAGAGGCAGTTTTGGGATGTGTTTTGGCAAGGCGAGATTTGGGGCCTGCGTTTTGCACCCCGAAACTGTCAAGTGGCTGGATTAACAGGGAGAACCATTTCCCACATTCCTGCCTTATTCATGACCTAAATTCTGACTCCGTTGCTGAAGTGATTAATGGTGGCTAAACCGGCCAGGGCACATAGCTTTTTGAGCAGTGTCGCTCCAGGTCTGGGCGCAAGTGGTTTATTTTGTAAAATGAAAGAGTTAGGAAGGCTGGGTTGTTATCTGTTCCAGCCCCCCCCCCCTGCTTGGAGCAGAGTTTGCTATAAAATGGGGGGGTCTTCAAACTTGGGCCTTTTATGACTTGTGGACTTCAACTCCCAGAATTCCTCAGCCAGCATGCCTGGCTGAGGAATTCTGGGAGTTGAAGTCCACAAGTTGTAAAAGGGCCAAGTTTGAAGACCCCTGCTATAAAACATTTCAGGCAGATTCCTTGAAGACTCCAATGAAGGGCAATGTTCCCCTCCAAAGGGCCAGCTATCCCACTGGTTGACAGCTCTTTCTCTGAAGAAGTTCCTCCTAATAACTTAGCTTCCCTCACACTTCATCCTATTGCTCTTGATCCCACTCTCTGGGGTAGTATTTTTCAACCTTGGCAACTTTAAGATGAGTGGACTTCAATTCCCAAATACCAGAATTCCATGGCAGCAAAGTCCCTCAAGCATTTGACTTTAAATTGGGCCTTGCAACCTACTGACAATCAGTGAAGCTACTGCAAGGTATGTGCTGAAGCAAATTTCACCTCCTGTATCTTCAAGTCCAGACCTGTATATATTGAAGAAGTCAAGAGCCAGTGACGATAGGCATGAATTATTGTCACTGACCCTGACTAATGTATCAGTGGATGTTGGCAAAGACTTTGCCCTCACCTGTTGCTTAACAGGAGCTGGAATTCAGGAGAACCCCTATCACACATCGGCTTATTTAGGGTGATGGGCCCTGCCTGGAGCAATCACTAGAGCCATTGATCTTCAACTCCCTGATGTGTTTCTGGACAAAAGGCACCTCTGCCCTTCTTTGGGTTTAGTCTTAAAATTGCTTCTACCAAATCAGTCCTTCAGACATGGGTTCAACACTTGCACAGCAGCTTTAGTATACAGTACCTGAAACACTTTATTATGGGCCCAGATCAGAATGCGGCTAAAATGATACAGTACCTCACCCCAAACTAACAGATGCCTTCACCCAGAGGTTTCATATGGATGTTGCATACATGGCTCAATCATTCTTTCCTTATGACCTCTCAGTCAGGGAGGAACAGAACCACTTTTTTTTCTTTGTTGGACTAGTGATTTCAGAAATTAGTATTACGTGCTATAACTCTGCAACAATACCTCTTTAAATCTGAAGGGGGGAAAAAGACAGGCATGAGTCTGTCTAGCACAGGGGTAGGCAACCTTGGCTCTTTTATGACTCATGGACTTCAAGTCCCAGAATTCCTGAGCCAGCTATGCTGGCTCAGGAATTCTGGGAGTTGAAGTCCATGAGTCATAAAAGAGCCAAGGTTGCCTACCCCTGGTCTAGCAGGACAGTTGCTGTTAAGAATTTCCTGGTGCATATACAGATTGTTGTCTGAAGAGCAGGCAATGGTAAAGTTCTTGGGCACCTGCATTCTTCATAGAGCAAAACTGAAGTCCATCTAGTCCAGCTTCCTGCTTTCCAACATCCCTGTTTAGTTGGTTCCCCTGGGTGGGTTCATTTCCTTAGTCCAACTTTCCAGATTGTTGCAATACACCCAAAGCATAAAGTAACCGTAGGAGTTGAGTTCACACAAATTGCCATGGGTTTAACTGAGCTTGCCTGACTGGTTATTCAGCATTTGACTACCAACCCCATCATTAGTAGCCATGTTTGGAAAAGGCACATTGCCACATGATGCTAAATAGGCATGGTCTGCATGTCACACTAGACCAGAAACGTGGCAACTTTTAAGATGTGAGGGCTTCAACTCCCAGAATTCTCCAGCCAGCCATTTAGGGAATTCTGGGAGATAATAATAATAATAATAATAATAATAATAATAATAATAATAATAATAATAATAATAATAATAATAATAATAATAATAATAAAAAGTTGGAAGGGACCTTGGAGGTCATCGAGTCCAACCCCCTACTCAGGCAGGAACCCTTCACCATTTCAGACAAATGGCTGTCCAGTCTCTTCTTAAAAACTTCCAGTGTTGGAGCATTCACCGCTTCTGGAGGCAGGTAGTTCCATTGGTTAATTGTTCTAACTGTCAGGAAGTTTCTCCTTAGTTCTAAGTTGCTTCTTTCCTTGATGAGTTTCCATCCATTGCTTCTTGTCCTGCCTTCAGGCGCCTTGGAGAATAGCTTCACTTCCTCTTCTTTGTGGCAGCCCCTGAGATACTGGAAGACTTGCTATCATGTCCCCCCTCGTCCTTCTCTTCATTAAATTAGACATCCCCAATTCCAGCAACCGTTCCTTATATGTTTTAGCCTCCAGTCCCCTAATCATCTTTGTTGCTCTTCTCTGTACTCTTTCTAGAGTCTCAGCATCTTTTTTACATCGTTAAATTGCCAAGTTTGAGAAACATTGTGCTAGACCAGGGGTAGTCAACCTTGGCTCTTTTATGACTCGTGGACTTCAACTCCCAGAATTCCTGAGCCAGCTGTGCTGGCTCAGGAATTCTGGGAGTTGAAGTCCACGAGTCATAAAAGAGCCAAGGTTGACTACCCCTGTGCTAGACCGTGGTTTAAATAATATCAAACTGAAAAAAAAACAACAGAGGACCATTGAGTGCCTGCAAAAGGAACAGTCAGGACTGTCACCTAACAGTCGTCTGGAGGTTTGCAACCCATCCTGGCAATGCTGACTAACCAGATTTGCTGTTGGGTTCGCTCAAGCCAGGAACCTCAAAAGAATCTCCCCCGTCCTCCTTGCAGAAGGAACCCCGACTGCCATCCACACGACCTCCCGCGGAACTGCAAATCGGAGGAGGCGTGGCCTTTCCGCTTACGCGCACGTGACCGCGAGCGCCCCGCCCTTCGGACAGTCTTGGTTGACAGCTGCCTCCGCCCACAGGCGGGGATGAACCACGCGCGCATGCTCTGTTTTCCCCCCTCCCCGTCGCCGTTTGACCGAAAAGGGAGGGGGAGCGAGCGTGACGTCACGTGGCTGGGCAAGATGGCGGCCTCCGTGCTGGCTATTTCGGGCCGCGGCTGGGTCACTTGCGGGGCGCGGGGTCTTTTGTGGGGTCTTTCGCGGGGCCTGTGCAGCGGCGGAACCACGCACTTCGGGTTCCAGGAGGTGTCGGAGGAGGAGAAAGGAGAGAAAGGTGAGGGGGCCGAGCAACCCTGGCTGCAGCCGGGATGCCCAAATCCCGTCGTGGCCGGGTTCTAAGATAGAACAGGGCTATATGGGGCCAGGGGCGGGGTGTCTCCTGGCACAGCTTGCCCAGGAGGGTCTTTAATTCTCTATTCTGGCGTTCTACGCCCCCCCCCCAACGAGCGAGGGTGTGCCGGGGTGTGTAGCTCCTGTCTGATTCCAAGAGCCTGGAGAACGTATGTAACGACATATGTAACACAAAATCAGTCCATATCTAAGACAGTTGGGACCCCAAACCTGGGCACCAAGTCTTTCAGGAGGTGTCTGGCTGTCTCCAGGGCTAACAATAAATCATCCCAACCTTTCCTGGTTTGTAGACCAGGGCCGGTGGCACCGGGAGGGGGGGTTTCCATAGAAACAGTGGATGCGCGCACTCACCTGCCGCTTGCACGGCCCGGTTTCGAACAGCCGCAGCCCAGCACCAGCCTATGGCCCAGAGGTTGGGGACCCCTGATATAAATAACAAAACTTACCTTATTTTGAAAAAGTGAAAATTTCAGTTTACCAGGTGTTTGAAAACGTGGCAAAGAAGTATGATATAATGAATGATTCGATGAGTCTGGGAATCCATCGTATTTGGAAAGACGCCCTGCTGCGTCAGATGAACCCTTATCCAGGAGCCCAATTAATTGATGTTGCTGGCGGGACAGGTAAGTGCCATAGAATCCTAGGACCTGAAGGGACCTCAGAAGTCTTCTAGTCCCACCCTCCTGCCCAGGGCAGGCACCCTTATTCCATCCCAAAGGGTTGTCCAGTCTTTCGCAACGTTCACCAGCCCCATCCAAATCTAGTTTAGTTTGAGAATGTGAAGCACTCAGATGAACCTCAGTAGTAATTACCACAACAGCAACAACAAAATTGTATTGTGTGGGTGCATATCGTACTTCTTGATCAGCAGGGGTGTCAAAACTACGGGCCAGGTGCGTCACGTGTAGGCTACGCCCATCCCGGCTCCACAAAGACAAAAAACGTCACGATACATCACGCGATGCGATTGTGTTTGACCCCCGGGTCAATCAGCAACCCTAAAGCTATTGGAAAGAGTGGCTTAAATGATTCTGTGCACAACACATTCCTCCCTCCCTTCCTGTTACTTAATTTCAGGAAAAAGGAATCTCAC